ATTTTTATGTTAATTAGAATTCGACATTTGTAGCAATATCATGTAGATTAGCTTTAACGGATCCAAGTTTAGACTTAAATATACTAACTAACACATTCTGTTTTCATTAGTTTTTTCCGCTTCCTTTGTTATTGATACGCAGAGCACCGAGTTCCCATTCAAGTTTATATACATGGTACCACTGAACAAATCCATGTTCAAGGAAGTGTATATATAAACATATCCGCTATACATTTACAATTTTTGGAAATATTTCTGCAATTAATTTAGCGCTGTTGTCAAGGCGTTTTGAAATGCTTGGGAATATGAAACCAGACTGCTCTTAATGTAACAATGTGTACAAATCACAGTGTTTGTGTTATTAGTATTACCAAAACAAGTGTCTGTGGTAAAAATACTTCTTATCATCTCTAATATCTGTCCAAAAACACCATAATGTCTACATCTGACACATATAATGTTTTACTGTTTCTTTGATTAGTTTATAGCTCTTTTAAATAGTTAATTTATTTAGAATTAATGTTCAATCTGTTTCAAATCTTACAAGCGCTGTTCCGATGTTCTAAAAACAATGTTCATAAATGTATTTTCTGTTTACAGGAAATAAACACTTTACCCTTCCTCTAAAATATTACTAGGGGTCTGTATTTTGCCTTCTTTTGTTTCCTTTTTCTAAAAAAATTCTAAAAGTGTTGAAATTGAATGCAGCATACCATAAATAATACAAAGGACAAGTCACACGCGTGGCGCAATGGTAAGAACATCTCCTCTAGAATGGTGGAGTAAGGAGCTAATCCTTAAACTGCGGTCAGAATTCATCGCAGGACCTGGAGACCGGTACTTTGGGATACCTACTCCTTCATAGCATCTTATCACACCTCTGTTTTTGAGGTCCTTTCTCGCTTTGCTCCTATTTTGTATTGTTTTATTGATTTATGAGTTTGAATAATATTTGTTATCTTGATTTATTTCACCGTATTAGTTCAAGCCATGTGTTGCAGTAGGTGTTTGCACGATTAAGCTATCCTCACTGCTTATTGACTTTGAGTACTAAATATAGGCAATGATTTGTAGCCCTTCATTGTCGAATGGTGGTGTCTCCGTATGAGTGAAACATTTTCGAGAGGGGTGTTAAACAACAAAATTGCTGGACAAAGCAATATTTAGACTAGTGAAATTTTGCAATGGTGTTGATGGAATGTACAATATGTTCATTATGTAAACTAATTTTTATTTGAGAAACAACATATTTAATTTTATGCAACAAGAGAATTTTAGGCCATAAATTTAAGATTTATAATAGGAGCCATTAACATCTTTAGAAACATTTTAATTCGCCTGGTCAATCTTTTGTTTCATTTGGGGCTACCAGGAAAGCTCCGTCGGTAGAACGCTCGTTCCATGATTGGAAGGTTGTGGAATTACGATCGCTATTGACCTAAATAGAAAAAGAGGTCGCAACTGCTCCTTCGCGCAAAGCGTTCGGCACTCTTTAGTGAAAGTTGTAGGTCCTCTGGATGAAAGCCTAAAGATCAAAGCGTCTTGTCATGGCAGATGTTGGCACGATTAAGAACTCTCAGTGCTCAATGGCCCTGAATTCTGGGTAAAGATCTAAATTTCAGTCTTTCATAAGCATATGATGAAGTCTCTCTATTATTAAGAATTTGAAAAGTTATGTAAAACAACATACAGTTAATCAATCTTTCAATGGGATTTAGAATTTTAGAGAAAATATATCATTAAATTCTATTAGTATTTTACTGAGTGTGCAATTCCGTAGAAAACCAAAGGAGTACCGACTCGGTATGATAAATTCAGTTTTCAACAATAATTAAAGACGCAGGCGTAGTCGTGGATGGTGGTCAAACAATTTTAGTAATGTCTCTTTTGATTCTGCTTTGTCTAGCGTCAATTAACAGTCAAATGCACTAAACTCTACTCGGTATTCTTAAAAATTTGGAATAGACTTTTTGAAGATTTCAAAACAAGTCCTTATTTAGATTCTTCAACTGAAGAATGCAAGCTTGTGTTTGTTATTATGGATGTTGCCCACAAGCTCTTATCTGTGTTGGAAAAATAATCTGCTTAAACTTCAAACTGTATAGATTCTTTGTACATTATTAATATTCCTTATCCTGAAATATAGAGAAAACGGTGGAGTGCTTGTGTGTATGAAAAAAGCCAATAAGAAGTCATATTCATATAATTCAGATCAGAAGCACAGTCAAAACGTCCGGACATCAAAATTCAAACACACCTCTGAAAACGTGGCATGTGCCTTGTAGAAGTGAGCATTCCCTGCCAAATTGTCAACTTCGCCCTGTTTTTCTTGTCATGATCGTGAAAACTGGAAAAATCCGTAAACAATTTAGTGTGTAATAATGGTCCAATAAGTATGAAAATGTTCAGTCAGCATTTGACTAAACGACAGATTGTTTTTGCTAACAAGGACATTGCATCGACTCAAGAACTTGAAAAAAAAGCTGGCTTTAAATATATATGTGGATATTCTTGTTTCATAAATTTGTTCGTCAATAGCTTCTCTCGTTATAGATATTGTACCTATTCAGAGCACGTTCTTCTGCATCGAATCAAAAGAGGGAAATAAACTACATATGCAGATGATAAGGGAATATTGCTCCAAAGTAAAGGATACAAAAATTATTTTGTTTATTATATGCTTTGCTGTAAGGTTACATTTGGCATTTTTTCATAGTAAAATATTTAAATATGGAATGATTGTATCTTTTACCAGTATGTCAAACTCATTGGGATATATCGAGTCGACATATGAAGGGAAATAACGGAAATAAATATTGTTATTAGATAATACTTCGATATATATAAATGTTGAATTGAAGGCAACAGCAATTATTTTTTTCTAGTGTAGAAGTTTCTGAATAAATTTTGCTTTATATGAATACAAAAATAAGTCTGCTAATCAGGAGCGAAATTTGTCAGTATAATTGTTTTGCATGTTAAGCAAATGCACACATGGGAATTTTCCAATAGATTGTTGGAATACCTCACCATCAAAACCACATAGATATTGTCAATCAGAAACTCAAGCATGAAGAAAACAGCCGTCTACATAAGGGGTGTGCAAAACCTGAACGTCAATTTCATTGAATGCATTTTTTAACAAAATCTTGTCGAATGTTGGTATAAATGTAAGGGGCAGCATATGTATGTAATTTCTCAAATGCCTCGTTTTAAGACTATCCATTTTTAGATTTTGTTAGAGGCAGAATACTAAACACTTGCCTCATTCTCTGTTATCATACTCAGTGCACGATTAAGTTGATCAATTTTTATATACTGTGAGTATTTCATCTTTTGTCGTTCAAAACTTCGTTGTTTAAAAAATTCATTTTTAAAATACTTTTTTTTTATTTTTTACGTATTTAAAGAAAGAAGTGAAAAGAAAAACGAAACGACGATGATGATACAAATCACAATATTCATCGCATATTTCCTCTGTATTTTTTTTTAAGGTTCGTTTCAGAATCAACCGGCTTCAGGGTCCTTCAAGGTTGTTGTTCCTTAAATGGGATGTTTACGTAGATACTTTTACTGTTCTGTTCATGTATTGAAAATTTTTTATACTCCCCTTTGCAATCTGCATCGTCACTGTCCTTGTTCACGTCCATTTCGCTAAGAGTCTTTTGCGATGGACTTGATTTGATACATAGTACTTCCGGTTCCGGGACAATTTCACCATCCTTTGCGTTGTCATTAAGAGGCTGTATTTGGGAGAATCTCAGATCTGTATAGCTGTTCAGGTCTGGTTGATTTGGTGTCCTCTGGACAGTTTCAGTTTCTGTGAATGACGGGGTTCTTTGACTTTCATACTCATGGTCTACAGGGTTTTCTGTTTAATAGAATGTTTATATTTGGTTTGTACATATTATATCAATAAGTGTTATAGTTTTCTCTTCAGTCATTTATCAAATCAAATACTATATGCTCACCTGCAAAATGATTTTTTTTAAATTATAAAAATCAAACGTGTATAAAGTTTTATTGAACTCAACTTTAATATGATAAAAGTTTTAAAGTCATATACAAATATGTTGGAATGATTTTAGCTGTCAAAGCTGTTAGTGTTATCTTAAGAATATATAAATACCTGTGATAATACCTATCTCATCTTCATACACCTGATTTGTAACTGTAGGTGATGCATTTGTTTTCATGAACCTGCATGAAAAATACTTGATATGACTGATTAATTACTGAGTTGACTCATATTATCACAGTCATTACCATCAAAAATTCAATCGAAGATTTCTTCCATTTGAAAGAAAACAAAGACAAAAATATTATGTTATATATTTTTTGCATATCAATTTATTTATTCCAGGATTTAAGGTAAAACAGCAGTCCTATCAGGCTCATGGTGATAACAGATCCTATCAAGGCAGAAAGCATGTTAACCCACTCATTTTGACTTTCTGTATCTTTTCCAACTAACAAATAAAAAAAATTATTATATGATTGAATAATTCCTTTCACTCTGATTGGCTGAGATCCAACTATGTAATAAGGAAACTACGTTATATTTACCTGCACCGGACATTCCAGGTAAATATTATACAATTATGGACTCTTTTGGTGTTAAATATGGTTTGTTATTCACCAGAAAAATATTCATATTGACCGAGGCAAAGCCGAGGTCAATATGGATATTTTTCTGGTGAATAACAAATCATATTCAACACCAAAAGAGTCCATAATTGTTTTATTATATAGTCGGGATTTGAATAAAAAAGACAGTGAAGGCTGTTTGACGACACCATTTTCATTTGCGATCTTCCATTGTTGAAAATAGAAAAAAATCTCCAGATTACTCTTTCTTACCTCCGTGTTTTCCTTTCCAAATTTTGCTATATGTAAGACGTCCAAATGTTAAAAAATAATCCTGAAATAGGTTTGAATAATTGTTTTTTCTGCTCAGATACGTAGCTCGCTGCAGCCGGTACAACCATTGTTTACAACGTTGTTTGACGTAATGATCGTGACGTCACAATGCCGTTGCACGCGCAGTTACCTTCCAGTGAATATGGCCACAATTGTTTACAAAGTGTTTCGATGTTCTGATTGTGACGTCACAATGCCGTTGCACGCGCATTGACCCTCCGGTGAATACGGCCTAAAATCCGGTGAATATGTAGTGTTATGAACTGTTTGCGTTTGTATAGATTATATAGGGACTATAAGTAGACTATATAATAAAAGAATTTATATATTAACGATATATAAATCCCACACGAAATTTTATACGACTATATATTGAATGGGATTTCATTCAAAACAACGAAATTAAATGCCAACGAAACTATTTTTGATGACAATTCAACGAAATTTTATCCCCACGAAAATTTGTGATTCTACAGTATATATTATTGATCTAAAAATAGATCGAGAAATTTAGACGAATATATAATTTGGGGTAGGGTGAAAAGTGGAATGCCGGGACCCCCACCCCACTCCCTCCAAAACATTTCTAAACAAACAACTTTACTTTTGTAAGCTGTCAATTCTTCCTGACAATCCTCTATCTTTTCAGAATCTATCATGAAAGAGCTTGATATTATCTTTCCTTTCATGGCAACTAAAATAGATGTTTTTCATTCAAATTAATTCGACTGTTTGGATTTATTTACATTGTTCCTCTGCTTCTCTCCTTTAAATTGGCTAGGACTTGAACAAATGCCAATTAGTAATAATGTGTATCAATAAATCATTGAATCATATAATAAAAAAATTATTGCTGGGTTTTTGTCAGTCAATACGATGATCAAACCACAAGTTTTGACCTCCGGGCTTGATGAATATTGTATTCCTCAGGTGGCTAAATTGTATTGACCTCAAAAACAGCAATAATTTTAAAATATTCCAAGAAAGGAAGCACTATAAGTTAGATTATTTATTAAACAGTATCGAAAAATTTCCAGGCAATAATATTCCATGATACCTTCTAGATAAGCATTGATAGTTTTTTTACATTTATCTAAAATAGAACTTCTAGATTAATAAAATACATCAACTGCAAACGACCATCCAGATTATCATAATATTTTTTTTATATCTAAATAATTTGATTTCACTTGTATCAAACAATTCCATTGGCTGAATCATTCAGAGGAACCTATAATATTTTGTATAACATAACTTGCCTACGTCACAATGAATTACGTCAAAAACGTATAATTACGCTTGACGTTACTTTTAAAATAATGCTCAATTTGAAGCCCTTTTCCGGAGGAGATATTGTCTCATTGTCTACACTGAAATTAAATTATAAGGAATGAAGCTAATTTCAACTTATGTTATCCGATATAACAGAACTTGGGGGAGTTTACGCTTTCTTATAAACCGCTTCGCGGTTTATAAAGCGTAAACTACCCCAAGTTATGTTATATCAGATAACATAAGATGAAATAAGCTTCATTCCTTAAATATATTTTTGTACTTTACACTGAAAATAGTTCATGAACTTAACGAAAATATAACGATTGGTATAATGCAGTTATTTGTATCTACACCATACTTCTAAGTAAAAATATATATGATTTTTTTAACATCATACTTAAATAGATATAAAATTAATATAACCAATATTGTTGTTTTATCTTTACTTCTCTCACAATATTTTGCTAGGAAATTATAAATTGCAAACATAAAAATGAAGAAGATAACGAAGGTTTACATAACATTTTGAGTTTAGAACATTAACGATTCAATCAAATACATTTTTAAAAATGATTGCTTTTTCATTCAGACAATACAAAGATTTTATAATCTTTCAAAATGTATTTATTTGAGGTATTTATTTAAAAAAAAAAGAGCATTGTTTATATAGTACCTTTACATGGGTGTCTCTATTAAAAACCGTTCACGGTAGCTCAGTCGGTAGAGCGCTTGCGTCGCGATCGGGAGGTCGTGAGTTCGAATCTCGGCCGCGACTGACCTAAGTCGATAAAAAATGGGTAGCAACTGTTCCTACGCCATGCGCTCGGCACTTTGAAGTGAAAGTTGCTGGTCCTTCTGATGATACCTTAAAAACCGAGGCCCCGTGTTTCCGGCAGGCGTTTGCACGATAAAGATCCCTCACTGCTCAATGGCCCTGAATGCCGAGTAAAGGTCAAAATTCGAAGCCCTTCACCGGCATACGGTGACGTCCCCATATAAGAGAAAAATTCTCGAGAGGGACGTTAAACAATATACAATCAATCAAACAATCTTTTTTAAAACTTTCATAATATTATATTAGTTAATATATAAGCATATACAAAGTAAAATTGTAGATTGACAATCAAAAGTTTACGATCTATTTGATGAAGCTTACACACAGTTTACTTAATTGAGTAAGAACCTTATGAAGCCGTCTGTAGAAAAAAAAATAATTGATTGAAATAAATGTTTAACGTTATACCATCTTTTCTACTTTGATAACGCGTAAATAAAAATGTTACCGGTATTTGTTTTCGGACATCCAAAGCTTCCATCACATTCTTCAGCTGGGCAGTTACAATGTAACCGACAGAGTCTCCCAAAATATCCTTTGACACATTTTTGTGTACAGTTAACCCCATTAGTTCCAAGTGGACACTCTAAAATAAAATTACCATGAAAAGAGGCACTTAATACTATTAATTCTAACTAAATCTAAGTATTCCATTGTCAAATACCCCACCCACCTGTTATGGCGTCGCCCTGTCGTCAACAGCTTGAAAGTAAATGAATTTTGAGTACTATTTGATAAAATATCATGCTTGTACATGTAAAAGTAATGTAAACTGGAAATTTTTGCCTTTATTTTGCCCTTGTATCTCTCGCCTATGTTGACCATTGGCATTTCTTTTTAAAGGATGAATTTGAGAAACACATTGTTCTACGTTTATAACTAATTTTGTCTTGAGGAATTTATATTGGAAAAACTCGCGTACAAATGTGAAAGGACAAGAAGTTTTAAAAGGAACATTTTTTTTCACATTATTACCACCCACACCAAACCTTAACAGTAATTCCTTTCTTAAAAATCTGAATCTGCGCTTTGTGTAAAAGCAGTATCTATAACAGTATGATATTGTAAGCAATTGTTATTCACGAAATCCCTTATTTGCGTTTTCAAGTTTCGATTCCATCCGCGACTACTTATTATTTACCATTGAGGCAACATTTGGCAGAAGATTATAGGAGAACAATTGCATTGGTTCGCGACAGGACTTTTTAGCAGATAATATTGGGTCGTGAAATTCGCAGATATTTTTTTTCTCGCGAAAAAAGCTGGTTTACAGTGAACTGGCTTTGTGGGTTTTGAAAAAAATATACATATTCTATGTCAAAACCCATACAAATATATATATATATATATATGGTTTATATATATATATGTTATATATATATATATATATATATATATATATATATATAAATGTAACCTCAATGATTAATTTTGACATTTATTATTATTTAATGATTGATAGATAAAATATTGAAAGATATAAATTGAGCTTACCAAGACATTCTCCGTCCGGGCTTTGGTAAAAGTTAAGACAGCACCTGCAGACATTTCATATGAATTTTAAAGAAATATATTTTATTGCATTTCATTGTATTAAATCACTAACTAACTATCTATTTAGTAATAAATATGTTCACAAGAATCAATTACAAACCTGTTTCCACATAATTTACTACAATGAGTTTTTGTACAAATGTGTACAACAATTAAATGATAAAATATCTGACTCCTGACTTTCATCAATTTCATATTTATTAGAATTTGGCCTTTCTATCAACGATCACATTTCAGTTTCCATGTAATCTAAATATTCACAACAACCTCGTTCTTTTTTTCCTGATTTTACCCACTTCCTTTTGTTATTGAAAATGCAGAGCACTGTGTTTCCGGTCAAACTTATTTACATGATACCAATAAGCATGTACTTCAGTGACGTAACTTTAATAAGATTTATTTCCTGTGTAATTGTTAACTATAAACAGGCAGTACTTATAAGCAGGTAGTAATTGAGGGGGGTTAGATGGGGAGGGAGATTGATGTGGTATCCACTCCATTAGGGAACTCTCCAAGTTTATAAAATTTTCAGGAAACTAAGAGCTTCTTATCATATGTAAATCCAGTTATAGTTTGGGCAACCAGACTAATTATTAAAGCTGTTATTTTAAATTTTCATTTCTATTTGTTTTCTCTGTGGTAAATCTTTGAAAGTTAGTAAAGTTCATTTCTTGATTATTCTACCGGAATGTAAATTCGGCAAATTTATAGGTCAGGAGCTAAATAGGCATGTAAATTTCGTGCGCATCTGTCCTTGTGTCTGATGCCAAGGAGGCCAAATATGCATTTAAATCTTTATAAGAGACATTGGATTAATTGATTGTATATTGTTTAACATCCCTCTCGAGAATTTTTCACTCATATGGAGAAGTCACCGTATGCCGGTGAAGGGCTTCAAATTTAGACCTATACTCGGCACTCAGGGCCATTATGTGGTGAGGGTTCTTTATTGTGCCAGCGCCTACCGTGACACGGGACCTACGTTTTTAAGGTCATATCCGAAGGACCTGTGACATTTACCTCTGATGCCGAGCGCTTGGCGAAGGAACAGTCACTACCTATTTTTACGTCTTAGGTTTGACGCGGCGCCGCAAACGAGAATCGAACCCGGGCCTTCCGATCACGAAGCAAACGCTCTACCACTAGGCTACCGTAAATGGTAAAGAGAGATTGGAAATTTTTTTTAAAAATCTTTTGGATATAATAAGGATCTCTCTTTATACGTACCTATTTACATTGCTTCAATATATCTTAAGCTTGATTACAGCTTGTATATGCATATTTTATATAAAATTAAACAGAATAAAGCTTAACGTTTATATTTCACAATATTTGGAAAATACAATTTAACACGGTAATATAGTACCTATCTGATGTAATGTCTCTGCTTTTCACATTCTAAATGTCAAAATAATAGCTGTCGCCCGTGAGGGGCAGTGGTTATATTTGCTCTAGGATCGCAATGTAAGGAAGAAGGATATAGAGTATGGCGTGTAAAATGTTGCTTTGTTTGATAATCTTTGATGTATATTCAGAATCTTGTGATGTATATTGAAAAACAAAATTTTTTAATTTTTAATTTAAGTTTTAATTTTCTTAGAATATTCTTGCGTCACGTTACCAATAATGCAATATTACTGCACGTATCACAAGATTCTAAATATACATCACAATATTTCGAACATTTATCACAAGATTATAGAATACACATCACAAGATTTTGAATTTGCTACTCAAAAATTAACAGTTATATAGTACATGTCTAATTTAATGTCTCTGCTTTCACAATTTCAAATTTATAGCTGTCACCCGAGTGGGGCAGAGGTAAGATGTGCTCTAGAATCGCAGAGTAAGGAATTAAGGCTTACGTGGAGACCGGTCTTTCGGGTGGGACCGTTTAAACCAAGATTCCGTGTTGCAGTAGGTACTGACACGAAAAAACGTTCAATAGCTGTATGTGCCTAGTATTGGACAAAATTTGCAAGGCTCTCAATCGGCAAGTAGTGGCGTCTCTATATGAGTGAAAAATTCTCAAGAGACAACATTCTATCAAACAAACAAAATCAGCATATTTTGGTTATATTTTAATGTAATATTAAATTTATCAATTCCTCTAGAGAAATTTATAATAAGTACACATTTGAAAGCTTGATTTCCAGAATACTAGAGTCATTTCTACACCTGACTGTATTCATCTCAAGTTGGGATCTGTTGTCTTTTCCCTTCTTATAAGAAATCCATATGCATCTTTGAATGAATGCTTTTCTTCAATGCTTTCTTGACAATCATATGCTTTGTTTTTATTGAGCTTTAGTGGATTTTTTTTTTCACATTCGTCTCATACTTCCGACATTGTTTGGTCAGCAGAACTTTCAGTGTTAATTTGCATATTACTCTTTGAGAATATAAGTTCATGAACCACATTTTCTTCATCTGTCTGTAAATTTAAAACTTCTTCATAATCTGATATTCAAGTCTGGTTCGATATTTCAGAAGTGCGATCTTTACGCCATATACTATTTGCTAACCTATAAGGCCTTGGAGAGAAACCATTTGTACAATCAAACTCTTGGGTTATAAAACTTTTTGATAGCGCCTCCTTATCTACTAGTATGTCATATTTTCGATTCATTTGAGTATTTCCTATATTGTCTTTCACATTCTCATCTATTTAAGTTTCTCCACAAACGTCTCTTCCAGTGGGATAAATTTTTACTGTCCTCCTTTCAGAAACATATTCCTCTTTGTTTTCCTCCTTCATTTCGATCAAGTCGTATTCATCTGCCATGCTGTCTATTAGGTCGATTGAAGAGTCAACGGAGCTCAGGGACACTGCTTTCTCAATAGTAGGTATACGGAGAGACAGAACATTGTACGCTTTATCTTTAAACAATCGTTCATATTTCCCTTCAGATTTGGCTTCATCATTGTCGTCTATTTTATAACCATTTATTACTTTATTAGATGGAAGAGAATCTGTAGATAGTGCATCTTGTATCGGGACACTTTCGCAGTCATTTGAATTGTCATATGGAGGGTGCACTGTTGAAAACCTCAGGTCTGTATAACTGTGATTTGGTATTCCCTGCAGGACAGTCTCAGTCGTATTTGACGATGAACTGTGACTTTCATCACCATGCTCTTCCTGATCAGCTGTTAAACATGAAGTGTTACTTTTTTTATTGGTTTTATGAATAACAAAAACATTTCTTGTTATCTTTGTTCGTTTAATTTACAGACCAGAGAAAATTTAATTAATCAGAGTGTCACAATCAAAGTTGATTTTGTTACATGTATATTTGCTTTCTATTTTATTAGTATTGCCCTGTGTTGACCCTTATTGGTATTTAGTGTTTATCCTGCAAGGAGCCCCATTGTGACGCTCAGGTGATTTAAATATTTGGCCAGTCGCTATATAAGGTGATGTCAGGTTTGTCTTGGGTAGCGCACGTTTTCCTTGACCAGTGAAAGTAGTTTCACATGTCCATGGAGGGTTAGGTAGTTTTTCGTGGTAACTGAATCTCCAATCAGGGTAAGTGTAATTTACTTACATTTATTATATTAAAAGGTAATGCAGTATTATGTTAATTGAGCTTATTCTATTCTTATCCACGAGAAAGTGTTTGAATTGTATACGGGAATTTTACCACGTGCACATGCCGTGAGTTTAAGCGTAAAGTAATGATTTTAGTTTATTACTCAAAGTGTAACGTTACATTGTATTATTATTTTGCTTTGCGAAGCGGTGTGATACATGTTAGTTAAAACTGTATGTTTAAACAAGTATATGTGTAAACATTTAATGTTATGTTGTAAGGCAGCCCGTTCGGGGTCAAGCTTATTATGTCTACGCATATTTGTTGAAGGTCCCTATTGATACATGTACGTTAGTATGATTTGGTGCTGTCGGCGGAGGCAACCTAAGGGCGTGGTACGCTGGGCCGAGACCGTGAGAGAGGAAACGTGGTTTCCCGGATTTGGCAGCATTGCAGACGCTTAAGACGCGTGGGATAGGCGCGGGACGTCGAGGACGTGGTGGCATTGAGTGTAAGGGCGTGGTACCCGTAGGTCATGGACCGTTAAAGACAGGAGGCGGGGACGGATATAGGAACGTGGTCTCAGGATGGACACTGATAGACATTTTGAAATTCATTAATTTCATTTTGTATATTTGTACATATTTGTTTTATATAAAATTGTAAATAGAAAATAGTTTTGTTATCACTGATCAAGCTTAGGGTGTCGTGACACAGAGATACATTTGATAATTTTGCCAGTAAGATTTAATTATTACCTTTACAATCACTTTTCATATGAATCACAAATATTTTTATCAGTGATATTTTCAAGAATTATTACTGGGTTTTTTTTCACTTTTTAACTTTTCATGTCCATACCTGTCTGATCTGTATAAAGCTGATTTGTTGCAGTAAATGATGATTTTGTTTTTGATAACCTACAGGTACATTGTATACTATACATAACAAATCTTTTTTATAACAAGAAATGCAAAAAAAAATCTAATTAAATGATAAAACTGAATAAACATAATAAACATATTGTCCTTTTTATTTTTGTTTAAATTGGGGAAACACTGAATTATATTTCAATAGTCATTATAAATATTTACCATGACTTAAGAAAAAACAGCAGACAAATAAGGCTCATAGAAACTGTGGTAACGGATCCTATAAGAGCATATGTCACGTTAACCCACAACTCACTGATGCTGTCTTCACCTTCTTCTAAATGCAAAATTATCAACTGTATAAGAAGTAACTTACATATGTAATTCTTCATTAGTAGCAATACTTTGATTTTCTTCATTAACAATAAAATGTTCGATGAATGTTACGTAGAAACATTGTGGAAGAAAAATAATGCTTTATAAAGTGATTTGTGAATTAAATTACATACAATATGGACGAATAATTTGAATTAGCTATGATAATTCCCAAGCAATTGTATATAGAATACACTCTCTTATTTCAAAGACGCAGATAAACTAATAGCATGAATTTACCAGTTATTTCCTCTAGACATCCATAGCTTGCGTTACAACTTTCAGCAGGACATTTGCACGCTGACTGACACAGTTTTCCGTAGAACCCTTTGACACATTTCCCCGTGCAGTTTACTCCATGCGTACCCAGGGGACACTCTATTAAAAAGATGTCGGGGTCTTAAAGGGCTACAACCTTCGAGTAAAAAAATTTTGATTTTAATGCTTGCAAGAAAATTATTTTTTTCCCATGCCAAGACGTATGCTCATCCCTGAACAAGAAAACAACCAAATTAGTTTTATAAATTATGTAATTGATGCAATGATACATATTTTTCCTACCTAATTCTCAGTCTAGATAAAGGAAATTTTCTATTTAAAAAGTTAATTATGTATTTTATGTAAATTTCTGTAAGGTCAAGCGGAGTGATATGTTTTAACACAAACATTGTGACTTTGACTTCCCAAGTAATTAACTGTACAAATTCATTTTTCAGCCAATCAAATAGTTTCTTACAAGATTAAAATTACTGTATACATGTTTTTTCGCCTTTTTGCACTTGCCAATAATATGGCCCCGTTTTAATTGCACCTAGTCAAAGTTCTGTTTAAGAAATAATGCCATGTT